TCGTAAGAATGTATTTGCTACTTAGGTCTGTTATTAATGGTAGGGCCCAGAACTGCCTTCCTAGTTATAAAGAATTACAGAAAACAAAAATGCTATCCTCCCTTCAACAATTTATATTACTGAAATTTCTGCAGAAGTTGATTTGCAAGAACTTGTACAGAAAACAGCTGAAGTATCCTTGACATAATAAATTTTGAAGAACAGATTGCCGGATTAAAGTTATATGCAAGTGAGGATTTGATGGCAGTTCTGGGCATAGCCAATATAAGCAGATATTTTCTGATTTAGAGAAAACACCGACGAATTTCGGTTTCTTGTAGCAATGACGCCACTCAGATTGATTGATATGGAAACGAATAAGGTATTGTGGAAAAATGAGAGCCCTTCATCTACTTTATATTGTAGCCGATCAAGTTTTTGTTTAAAAATGAAAATGCTGATTTAGTGCGGAATACGGAAAAGGAAATAACAAAAATTGAAAATTTGATTCCTATTGAGATTAAAATATAATTGAAGTTGATAGATGTTAACAATGTTGGACGGCAGTGTTGGAAACGTTCTATCAGAGACAAATTCAACTATGAAGTGCATCATTTGCGGAGCCACACCCAAGGATATGAACACGTTAGCAGGGATTAACCGTCCTCCTAACGTAGACAATTACCGGTTTGGTTTGTCAACTTTACACTGCTAGATTCGTTTTTCGTTTTTTTTGAATGCTTACTCCATATTGGATACCGCCTGCCAATTAAATCTTGGCAGGTTCGTGGGCCTGAAAACAAAGCTATAGTCGAAGCAAACAAAAAACGAATCCAAGCAGAGTTCAGAACCAAGCTGTCTCGATTAGTTGACAAACCAAAACCCGGGTAGGCTCCTCAAATTATGCAATACTGCCAGAATTTTTTCCACAAATCCACAACAAGTTCAGATATCACAGGGTTGACAGGGAATTAATCGAGAATTTGCGATCATCTTAGGAGTGTAGCTAGTGGTTGCGCTATGATATGGAAAAGTTTGCGTCATTGCTGGAAGAAGCAGAAAAATTTGTATATCCACCTTTATAAGTGGTACAACATGCCAAACACGGTACATAAGGTCCTTGTTCTGGGTGTGAGATTATTGATGCATTTTGTTTGCCCATTGGAGAACTGTCGGAGGTTGCGCTTGAGGCTCGCCATAAAGAGTTAGGAAACATCGATTATCTACCACCAGAAAATAGTCAAGAACGGATACGAATAAGGATCTCATGCGTGTTCTTTTACTTACTTCTGATCCTTTTTATATCCTCAAAAAGAAAGGTGAGCTCAAAAAATATAAGAAATGCAACGAGTCCGTTCAGAACTATTTAAAAAAGCAAGAAATGATGATTATAGGTATTGACTTAGGTACAATAACGAATGACACAGCCTCGAGCAAGAAATCCTATTCCGATTAGAATGGGTATATGTGGTGTGATTTTTTTAATATTGTTTATATTATTATTTCATACATCTACCTACTAAGTAATTGTTATTTTGTTAAATATATTTTTTTTAAATAAAAACCTAAATACAATTCAAATTATACAGATTTATTTTTTATTTGAATTATTCTTATTATTTTTTCAAATAGATAGACAAATTAATAATTCATATTGCGCCGCCACAAGTTGGCTACATTATCTTTAAATCATTCGGTAAAGATCTTGAAAATAAAGCGTGACTTTTTTGTCTCTCTTAAGAATGCTATAATAATATCCTACCTTTATCCCAATTTATTCGAGATCATCAACTTAATATTTTGACTTTTACAAAAAAAAAAACGATTTACGCGAAATTTACGACCTGCTCCCAAAACTCCTTCTTATTATTTCAAATAATTTTTGTCATACTTTAGAAAGCTACTTAAATAAGTAATCGCCCTGCGTTTTACAGAATTCAAATAGGACCACTAGTTTTTAAGATATCGAATTTTGTCCCTGATCTCTATAAAAGGGAACACACTGTGGACTGGTTCAATTTCAACACTTGGATTACTGTGGGCATTTTCATTCATTATTATGCCACTTCACTAGATTTCTCCATTGCTTTGTATAAGATCTTAGCATGAACCCAAAGTATCTTGTGGTGCTATGCGCAAGCCTGATCAGCTGTCCCAGATTTATTCGTTTCTTCCCGTTCCGTGTTGGATTTATGCTCCTTTATTTTTGCTGATAGTGTTTTTTGTTTCTCCTATGTATATCTCTCCTCATTTAGATGGCAGCTGGCATACGCAATGCCTGGTGTTTTGGTTTTTGTTCATAGGTTTTGTCTTTTGAGGATACTGTGAAGGGTGGTATTCCTTGACAATCTCGTTTCGATTTGGTATCATCTTCTATTCTTTGATTGCATCACTTGTTCCTTCAACATGGGGTAGAACTAGCGTATGCTAAGGTTCATTCCACGTGTTTCTACTGCTGCTTATGTTGTTTTGTTTAGAAATTCATTTATCAGTCGTCTTGGGTAGTCAATTCCTATTAGATCCTCTCTGATGTGATTTGGTGATTTGTTTTGCGTGTCGCAGATATTCTTTGCACGATCGATAAGGGTTCTAATGACGAATTTCACAGTGGTTGCTGGATGACTGGGCTAGATATTTAGGTATTGTCGGCTTTCTTTATACAGTAGTTTCTATTTTGGAATTTTTCTTTGTTACCATGACGTCCAAGAATGGGAGGCAGTTGTTGTTCTCTTCTTCCCTTGTAAACGTTATCAATGATCTTAGATTGTTTACGTGTTCAAAGGTGACGTGTAGTTTCTCTTCTCCATGGTTCCAGATTACAAAAGTGTAGTACACATATGGACGCTAAATATGCGGTTTAGCAAGTTCTTAATGGCGATAGACTCAAGCCACCCCTTGTATAAATTGGATACTACTGGTAACAGCATTGATCCCATTGGCAGACCCTCCTCTTGGATGTAAAATTTTTCTTTCACTTGAAAGTAGTTGTTTCTTAGGCGGAACGTAAGTAGTTCTATTATTCCGTACACCGGGAGGCTTGTTATCTCTTTCAATTCCTGGGTTTTCTCTAAGCTCCGTCTGTATGATTTGTAGAGCAGGTTTTTGAAGCTGACGTATGAGGAACAACATTTCAATCATCCACGTTGTCAACAAAGTACAAACAACAGTAGATTCAATGCCCATTGCCTTTCAGAAAATAAGTAATATCTAGCAGGGTCTTGGACTATAATGACTAGTCAATAATACTAGTTTGCAATTACAAACATCCTTGTTCAAAACGACTTTTTAATGCGGTTTTACTGGCAACCGCAAATGGTAAAAATTGTCAAAGCAAAGTCGAACAAATGTCTATGCAGTTTCCCTGTGCTCAACATAGAGTATATTTCGTGACCCAATTACGACTTACATCAATGGTGAATCGTGAAGTGCGCAATCCTAGAACGCTACGGCAGGAACTGAAAACAATTGCAGCGCTACAAAGCGGTTGAAGGAGTTTTTCCAGTTTTTTTCTGCTTATTTATGCCATTACTGCGGCTAATAGAGGCCCCACAGCTGCTCTTCATGCGGTTGTTCTGGGAAAATGGTAGAAACATACGTAAATGTAAGAATCCAAAGATTCCCAGTGTGGCACAGTAAATATACTAAGTGACATATAAATCCGAACACCCAGTTTAAATGGTTTTATTTTGATAAAATTTTGTATAAGTACTTAATGAAGCATAATAAGTAAATGATAAAAATTTCAAAATGATTGCACTGCTTTAAAGCCCTTTGACCTTTAATAATGTGTGGATGCACCCTGATGTGCTACGCATTCTCCAACGCGCCTAGGTATGCTTCTGATCAGGTGGTCAATGTCCTCCTGTGGTATCTCATTCCAGGCAACCACCAACTCCTCTCGAAGTGCTTCTAGAGTCTGAGGAGGACGTTGCAAATTGAGCAATCTCCTACCCATCATATCCCACACGTGCTCAATTGGGGGTAAGTCGGGAGATCTTGGTGGCCATGGTAACAATGTGACATCATTATGTTGAAAGAAGTCTATTGTGACTCTTGCAACATGTGGTCGGGCATTATCTTGTTGGAAGTTGGATCTGCCAGGGTGTCCAGATAGGGTAAAAGATGGGGTTCTAGAACTTCGTGGATATAACGCTATATATATAACGTTCATGTTACCTCTGATGAAGATTAAAGGTGACCTGGAACCATAAGCTATAGCATCCCAAACCATAACTCAACAGTGTGATGAACATGTCTTTCAACAAAAAACTGTGGATTCCTCCTTTCACCACGTCGCCTTCTAACCCTGGCACGACCATCGTGCATGCCTAAACAAAATCGAGACTCGTCACTAAAGACAATACTGTTCCATTCCTGATCCCAGAGTTGACGAAATCGTACAGGTCTCCGTACTCTAGGCATCATAACAGATCGTAAAGGATGTCAAGAATCAAAATCCGCCAACGTTGATTCTTTACTGTGGCTGAAATATTCATTTTTAGAGCGTTAATGAATTAAAAAAAAGCAGTATAAAAACCGGAATGTCCAACTGATGAGGCTGAACATTTTTTCACTTGTTATTTACAGTAAGATAAATACATTCACCAACTTTTATTAAAATAAAAGCATTTAAATTGGGTGTTCGGATTTATATGTCACTTAGTATACGTAAATGGCGCAAATCACTTTAATAATTATGTAGGTGTTGTACGTGAAACCGAATTAGATATTTATAAGTAAGCATTTAAAATGGATTTTGGAACTTGAGTTATTTCGAAAAATATGTATGGAATGACTTTGACGTTCTATCCAGTGGTTTTAACCCTAGGTCAGTCGCGCGGGTGACAATCGTCACCCACTTTCATTTAATATGCCACTATTTAAATGTTTCAGCTCACTTGGCAACATCGCTCCGAGTATCTTTCATGTTATGATAGATGTCTGTGCCGTCAAATATTTAGTACGGCTTGTGCGTGTCCCCCGCGCGACCTTCTACGTTGTTAAATTATTATTAAGGTGTTGTTGTACTGTGGCAAAGGTAATTCAATTTTTAATATTTTTCCTCCCTATGCTAAGGTATTTTTGCTTTAGGTATTTGGAAGTAATAGCAAGGCCATGTCTGAACAGAAAAACAGAAAAGTAGAGACCAGTAATGATCCCAATGTATGGCTGAAGTGGTACCATGAACTAAGTATGAAAGTGATCTGAGTGAAACCTCTAAGGATGAAGATGAAAGTGACAAAGAGGAAGAAAATATACTGACAGAGAGTGAGCATAATACAGAATCGGAACAAGAGGTTGCGGAAAGTGAAGAAGTTGAAAGTGACGAAGACGTGCCTTTAGATTCTTCTAGTTTCTACATTGGGAAGGACAAAATAATGAAATGGAGAAAAGCGAATCCTCCAAGAAATGTGAAACAAGGTCCCATAACATTATTATTCATTTACCAGGACCCAAAGGTAAAGCACGAGAAGTGAAAACAGAAGTAGCAGCTTTAGAACTCTTTTTAGACGACAGTATCTCAAAACAATTACAGCGTGCACTAATATTTATATAGAGAAAACACGTCAAGAATTTACAAGGGACAGAGATGCAAGGAGTACTGATGAGATAGAAATAAGGGCATTTATTGGATTGTTGTTCCTTATAGGCACCATGAGATGTTCTCGTAAAAATATTCATTTACTATGGGATAACTCCAAGGGAAATGACATTGAATCATGTTATCTTACTATGAGTGAACAAAGGTTCCGTTTCCTTTTGAGATGTTTGAGATTTGACAACATCAATGATCGTAACATGCGTAAAGAACTTGATAAAATGGCAGCAATTAGGGAAGTGTTTGAACTATTCACCAATAATTTTGAGAAATATTTCTCACCGAGTGAATATCTAACTATAGACGAGCAATTGCTTGCGTTTAGAGGTCGTGCAGCTTTCCGCCAGTACATCCCCAATAAGCTAAGTAAATATGGCATTAAAACATTTGCTTTGGTTGATGCTAAAACAGCTTATACTATGAAACTGGAAACGTATGTTGGATTGCAACCTCCAGGTCCATATCAGCAAAGTAACAATGCCAAAGATATTGTGATGAGGATAGTGGAACCAGTTCAGGGTACAAATAGAAACATCACAGGAGATAACTGGTTCACTAGTATTCCATTAGTCAATGAACTGCTGACTGAAAAGAAATTGACATACGTAGGTACTCTCAGAAAAAATAAAAGATAAATTCCCAAAAACACCGGGATAAATTTACTTCAATTTTTGGATTCCAGGAAAACTGTACAATTGTTTCTTACTGTCCACAAAAGAATAAAGCAGTTCTAGCAGTTTCTACCATGCATCACGATAGTGCAATCAGTGAAGACACAGGAGAATATCAAAAGCCGGATATTATAACATTTTACAACAGTACCAAGATTGGAGTAGATTTAGTAGACCAAATATGCCAAAAAAATAATGTAGCAAGAAATACGAGACGTTGGCCTATGGTTGTATTTTATAATTTATTAAATGTTTCCGCTGTAAATGCTATGATAATTTATAAGCTCAACAAACAAATCGAGGGAAAATTACGCCGAACTGAATTCTTGCAAAGCCTAGCATGGGATATGTTGACACCACAAATAAAACGAAGAGCTTACATTTCACAAATTCCACGGGAACTTCGCCGCAGGTCAATGGTATTGCTGGGTTTGGAACCCTCAACTTCTGTAGTTGAACAAAGAGATCGAAGAGGAGCAAGAGGGCGCTGTTACTACTGCGGAAGAGCACGAGATAAAACAACTAGAAAACTTTGCGCGCAGTGTCAAAATTTTGCTTGCAATGACCACCTAAAAGAAATTTGTGTGCGATGTTATGAAAACAACGACTGAAGTAGTAATTCACAGTTATCTAATGTTTTAAATATATTTTGTTGTTAAAATCAACCTACATTTTATGTCAAGGCTTATAGAGAATATCTTGTTCCTTATTTAATAAATATTTTTGGAAAAATCTTGTATAGGTTGTTTTTTAGGATGGTTCACACTTGTCACCCACGCGACTAATAATGTGCGGATAAGAGACGCGACTAACCTAGGGTTAAGTATTCTACAAGAGAAAGAGGCAAAAACTTGAGGAGTTATTCTTTGGATGATTCAAAACTATCTTATACATGGACAACTTCCGAAAGACCTCGTGCTTTTGAAGATACAGAGCGAATTAGACCACCAAAAATAACATTGTTAACAAAAGTCACAAGTTACATAGTGAATTATAGTTGGACAGTTGGACAGTTAACACGTTCTAAAAAGTGCTCTGGTATTTCTCAAATTTCGTGGGTCTACAACCAGCGATTAATTTATTTCTTTTCTTACAAGTCTACCTTGGTGGTGCGAGGAGTATTTGTGTTATGTGCATTTATTTGCGAGAATTTGCAGCAATTTGAATATAATATACGCCACCTCGTTTATAAAAAGCATACCAGGCTTAATAAAGTGCTGTGAATGAAAAGAGTTATTTCTGGTATTTTATTTAGAAGCCTGTGTTATAGTCCGGTCGATTTGGATCAATATGTCAAAAGGCAAGTTCGAGACCTGTGAATGTGGTAAATGTAGAAATAATATAACTAAGACACAATATAGTGAAATATAGTGAAATGTGCTGGGATGTGCGGTGGATGGTACCATAGGACATGTACGGGGCTATCGGACGAGCAATTGTTGGCTTATGAAAAGCGTAAGACCGATCAGAAGTGGTTGTGTGGCAGATGTAGTAGAAATAGGCATTTTTCATGATCAGATCAGTCAGACGCGTATGATCCCATACCAAAGACATAATGAAAACTATACAACAGAAGTTTTCAGAAATAACGGGTGATTTTTTAAGAGGTATAGGATTTGATTTGCAAAAAAAAACACAAAAAAATTGAAAAAAACGATTAAATCTTCAATTGAGTCGATAGAACGGTCGATATACTTTAATGTCTAAAGATTATTTCATGTCCGCGGCTCCGCTTTAGATGGCCCATACTCAAGGTCCAATTTTGGCACACTCTCTCCAACATATCGGCCGGTATCTCACGAATAAATGCGTCAATATTGGCTTCCAGTGCGTCAATCGTTGCTGGTCTATCCCTGTAGACATTAGCCTTAACATGGCCCACAAGAAATAGTCCAACGGCGTTAAATCACACGATCTAGGCGGCCAATTGACGGGCCCCAAACGAGATAAACTGTTCACAGAACTCGCCTCTCAATAGGGCCACTGTTTCGGGTGCGGTGTGGCATGTGGCACCGTCTTGTTGAAACCACATGCCAGCAAAGTCCAGCTCTTCCATTTTGGGCAAAAAAAAGTTTGTTATCATTGCACGGTAGCGCTCGCCATTCACAGTTACGTTCCGGCCATTGTCGTCTTTGAAGAAGTACGGCCCGATGATGCCACCGGCCCATAATCTACACCAAACAGTGATTTTTTCGGGATGCTTTGGTAGCTCTAGCAATGCTTATGGCTGGTCTTCACTCCAGATGCGGCAATTTTGCTTGTTAACGTACCCATTCAACCAGAAATGAGCTTCGTCGCTAAACACAATTTTTCGATAAAAATGTGGATCTTCCTCCAACTTTGCCTGCGCCCATTCACCAAATTGGAAACGTTGTGGAAGGTCGTGTGACTTCAATTCTTGCACCAGCTGTATCTTATAAGGTTTTACACCCAAATCCTGTCGCGAAATTTTCCACGTAGTGGAGTAACAGAGGCCCAATTGCTGCGAACGGCGGCGAATCGACATTTCCCGGACATCACTAATACTGGCGGATACAGCCGCAATATTTTCTTCAGTCCTCACTCTACGTCTGCGTGTTGGTGGTTTAATGTCCAATAATGTAAACTGGATTCGAAATTCAGTCACATGCTTCCGAATAGCTCCCTCAGTAGGCCGACCAAATTGCCCATAAATTGGAACCAGTGCTCGATGCACTCTCTTAACCGAGCATGAATTTTGATAGTAAAATTCATTAATTTGCAAGCGTTGTTCTTTCGTAAGTCGATTCATGGTTAAATTATAGACCAAACTGAACAAGTTTGACAATGACGCAAGACTCGATTCACGCGTCATCTGTCAAAAACAGTGTTGCCAAAAATATACTAGCAAAAAAATCACCATTAGAAAAGGCTCTTAATTTTAATGACGAAGTGATGGAGTGGTTACAAAGAACAATAAAAGCTATATCGGATGGAAATCGTGAGTTGCGAAAAACACAGGAGCATTTTAAGAATCGTGTTGCTGAACTGGAGAAGGAGGTAGTAACTTTGAAGGAAAACGATTCTAAACATGAAGATGGAGCTATTAAGAAAAGGGTGATTATTACAGGAATTAAAGGAAATCAGAATATTGATGAAAACGTCAAAAAAGTCTTTTCGAAACTGGATATGGGGGAACAATGGCTTCAGAAACAGGTCCATACGAAAATAACCGATCAAAATCCTTACGGAAATTGCTATTGTAAAAGTGAATTTTTTCAGGTTCAGGATCGACATGACGGAATCAGAAAATGCTTATTTATCTCATTATGAGCTATTAAACGAATACTTAAAATGTGATTTTTGTTCAGCCCTAACAGCATAGGTGGTGACATTCCTTATTTGTTTATAATAATCCCAATGTTCCGGCAAACCGGTCCTTTTAAATTTTAGAAACGCCTTGTCACGAAGAGACATCATTAATTTAACATTGGCGGTTAACCATGGCGGCTTAAAATGTTTAAATTTGATTTCAGTTAGTGTAGCTAAAGTGTTCTAAAATTATTGAAAGATATGGTAAGTAAGATAATTGTATAAGCGAATTATTAGATAACCATATCTAGATGTGTTGCTGACATTTTTTCGACTTATTGAAGGCCTTCGACAACATTGATATTAGTCATCAGGATTATTTTATTTCTGTCGTACAGAAGAAAATACAACGTCAAGGTGGAAGTCGCACATGGTTCGATTCTGACACCATTACTATTCATCATATACATTAAAGATCTAAAGCTATTTGGCTTTATGATATATCTTTGACTTGTAACGCTTTGGATAAAAATGCACATTAGCCAGTTGATTTACCTACATTAACTGGACTAAATTTTCACTCACTGCTTCTTTACAGCGACACATCATTTGAGAGCATATTCTGTGGAACTGTTTGAAAAATGACAAAAGACAACTTTAGAAAAAAAATGTACAGTCTCAAAAGTAGCGATTTTCCACAAATTCTTAAAAATGGTGACAACCCAAAATTCATGCACAATGGGACACCGTGTATAAAGGAATCCGATCAGTTTAACAGATATTCTGAACACTTATTTTATTTTTTGATAATACTGTACATCAATTCAGTAAGGCCGACGTACCCTGTATCACTACGTTTGGAATCGTGCATCCTAGCATACGGAGTGCAAGCTGATCAATTAAGACTTCAAACGCATATTATATGTCCAGAACATGGCGACAAGCTCGAAAACTTTGGCGTCAAACACAACGTCTACGTTTACTTGCGGTACAACTAGCTAGAATCTAGACCCTTAATCATATAAGATCTTTGATGTGGGCTTTTATGACTCCGCTGACAAAGTTGATGTGCTCTATACTGGATGTCACGTTGGTAAGTCAGTATATCATGGTTTGTCGTTTAGTAAAATACTATTACAGTACAGCAGAAGTGCAGGTACGTATTTGGCTCGAGAAGTCTACATACCTTCAGGCTCATGTACCTGAAATATTATTTGCAATTTGAATAGCACTCAGAGTACTTTTATTTTTGGATCTTGCTAGAATATTTTTTTCTATATCGAAAGCACATACATATATTAATTCCAAAGAGCATCCAGGATGATAGCTCAATAATGCAAATCATCTCTTGATGTTGTCATCAGCCACTACTGCAGGGACTCTGATGGAATTGGGTGAGACCCAGAAAATTGGGATGATGAAATACAAAAGTTTTTATAGTCTGGGTTCTGTTTACGAATGCATGGTGGACGGGCACGAGCCGGGATGCGCCGCGGAGAAGGACTTAATAACGGGTGATTTTTTAAGAGGTATAGGATTTGATTTGAAAAAAAACACAAAAAATTTGAAAAAACGATTAAATCTTTATTTGAGTCGATAGAACGGTCGATATAATTTAATGTTTAAAGATTATTTCATGCAAATGTTGGCCGCGGCACCGCTTTAGATGGCACATGCGCAAGGTGCAACTTTGG